GGGGGGTTGAGGTACAGAGTATAGGGAAAAGATGTAGCTGTCAGAATAGGAGATTACGAATAAGTGCAATAACAATTTTTTTGGGTGTTTCATCGTACCATTTTTGAAATGTTTTTGTTGTTTGCGGTTTTTGCGGAGCACGGGCTTCCGACAGGCAGACCGTACAGCATTCGTGCCACTGACTTCTATTCCGGGCCATATCTCTCAGCGTCTCTAACTAGCGACAATCCTCGTTCGTCCCTTGAGTCCCAACCTGGATGGCGGGTTGCACCAACCGAAGCCAAGGCTCAGTTTCACGAGGCCAGCTGCTTGGGCACCCCCTGGCTTCTTTCTTTTATCTGCACCCGCCCCTGGAGAGGTCACTCTAGCAAATAAACACGGTGAGGAGCAGTTTACCGGTTAAAAAAACCCCGCTAGATGGACGTAGGAGCGGGTTGCCTGGGGCTTCCTCTCGACAGTGGGAGAAGTCTTCGCACTTCGTGGACGGTTACCGTCCACCCAATTGGGAAGCTCCCAATCCGAAGGGGGCTGTCCTTACAGTGCTCCGTTTATCTCATTGGGTGCCTGAGGTTAAGGTTCGATCCCGATCAGCAGACCGACAATCAACGCACCAACCAACAATAGACCAAGCCGAAAACCGAAAGCTTTGCGTTGCAGGTTTGTAGAAGCTCTCGCACAGACGCTCCCCCGTTGGATTTACGCTCCACTGCCTTGTGGAGTAGACTGTTGAGTCGGAAACTCCGATTAAGGTTCCTCAGGAAAACCCCACAAATTCCGACTTCCTTGCTGATCAGACTTTTTAGTCAAAGGCTCCGGTTAGGATTCCCACAGAAAAACCCCTTCGTCGGTGTGGGTTGCCGCGAAGTATGTCATGCCCTAAAGTCTTAGACATTCATTTGGAAAACCCTCTTTCCCATTTGTTTAGTTCGTCCTCTCAATCCCATATGATCCCACATGCCTCCTGTTTACGCCACTCATCCGATATCACCCAGCATTTTACCAGTAAGGTCAAAAAATCAGAAGTTATGGGATTTTTGAAGCCAAAATTCCCTTTTCACTCAGGAGCGTCCAACGTCCACACTCTCCAGCAGATCAGTCAACAAGCTGCCTTAGCTAGAACCCTTAAAATATTCAATTTAGATGCATGTTGTGTTCGGCATCCGACGCCCGTGGTGTTGTTGGTGTTGGGATTGCTCTAGGTGCCAAGACTGAGCGTTAGTTTATTGATTGGAATCCAGTCAGTGGCAGACTGTGCGTTGTACTTCTCAACGGTTCATTAGGGAACACACATTCAGAGGCGAACAATCGTTTTCATTGATTCATCTTCTAGTCCGTACAGTTCAAATGAGGAAATGGCATGTTGAACGGAGATAGAAAGCTCAGCCATTTAAAAGTCACAGTGATTGGTTGAAAGGGAGAGGGTGTGTGAACGGTGCGACGTGTTTCACGTCCCTAGGTCGCCACAACACTGCAATCAAATTGGGATGGGTCATTCTCTCAGGGTATCCGTTTCGCCTTAGAACGTTTTTAATCTGTTCAAGTTCATCTGCGAACGTGGATTCGGAGCATGTCTTTTGTGCACGCGAGACAAGGCACTGAATAAGGTTTCTCTATTGTCTGAGTGGTACGAAACTGTGAAGGCGGGTGTACCGTCCGGTTCAGGATGGGGTCAACAGCTACCAACTGAAGCATCGATGCCATACACCTGAAATCTAGGATAAATTCAACAAGGATCTTTCTCAATTACTCCAAGGTGTTCGATCAACAGACGTCAATGTAGTCACCGGAGACTTCAATGCTCAAGCGGGATCAGAAAGGCTTCCTGGTGGATCAAATGCAAACCCAGCATTCTGTAAAGGGTCGAGTGCATCATGTAACAGTTCGGCCAGTTTTGCTATACCATGCAAACACCTAGCCATTGCGGGAACAGGATAAAATAGATTGCCGGTGTTCAAACATTACACGAATCTGGTGGGGCAGCCGGACGAACAATGCTGATGTTAGGCGTAGAGATTTGGGTAACTGCGGCTGTCCATGAATTATGCTGGATGGGGCATGTGTTACGCATGTCGCCAAATAGGTTGCCACGGTGAGCGATGTTTGTCGAGGTAGGTAGTGGATGGAAAAAAGTTAAGGGCGGTCATACGAAGACCTGGCATGAGTGTATGAAAATCCTAACCAAGACACTGGATTCCATGGATTTCTTTAGGCTTCCTGAAGGGGGACATCGAGATCACAGTAACTGGTGATTAGAGACACTGAATGATAT